CTACTAGGAGCAAGAATGCTACTAGGGGCTCCTGGCATCGCTACTAGCAGCAAGGATGCTACTAGGGGCTCCAGGACATTCCAGGACCTGATTGGGGGGTTCGAAGGTCGCAGGCGACTCCACACGCGGCGTCGCGTGGTCGCACGCGAGCCCCTCAAACTCGGACGGTGCATCGCTCGGCTTGGGACCGGCGGGCGCTCGAGGCGAGTCGGAGCGATGGTCGTACGAGTGAATGTCTTCCCCCAACTCAGTCTGGTTTTGTCTTCAGTTGAGTGGTGAGATGTGGTTGAGCTTTGGTATTTTACTTCGTGTGTCTTCAGTTCATGGACGCTTTGCCGCGCGGCTACTGAGATGACCCGAGACAAGGAATCCAAAGAGCCAACGAGAAATTCACCCATCGATTTGGGCCAAAGCGATTGTGACCAGTGAGTCCCAAGCACCTGGCACCGAATCCCAGATGGGTTTCCAGGCAGACAGAGCTCCACCGAGTCGGAAGCAAAAAATGGAGAAGGCATGGTCCAGCACCGGAAAATGTTCATCCAACGGAAAGGGGGAGGCGAATTAGGCCAGCGAACCGAATTTGGAGGACACCAGTGATGTCGGCTTTGTGTGGTCACATTCTGAGGAATGAATGGATTCGTGGGGAAGAATGTTTGATTCGTGGCCTTGTGTAAATTGCCAAAACAGAGCAGCCGCTTCTTGTTCCTAGTAGCGATGGTAGTGTTCTTGTTACTAGTAGTAAGGCCAGGAGCCTCGATCGTAGCGTCCTTGCTCCTAGTCCTACGTAGTACTTCTGGCCCCCTGAAGATCCTGGCCGCCTGGCCTCCATGCGCTCCAGGCAGCAGCACACCTGCCAGGACGAGGTGACGACTGCAAACACTTTCTGCACATGAGTGGGACAGTGGGACCCCATGAGGAACAAGTAGATTCTAGGAACAAAAGTTTGTCTCTGTTTAAAAACAATCTGCAAAGTTCTTGAGATCGTGTTGATTCACGGGCTTTCGTCAGAACTGGCACGACCATGGCCAACCTGTTTACTATCGAAACAAAACTTGAAACCCACCCTATCTGGAGAAACTCAGAAAACGCAGGATCCTCCCGGCTTTGAACTGGGGCAACATCCCATCAGCAGTAAACCAGAATCTGCGGCAATGTTGAAAAAACACAATCCTGGGGAAAAACACAAAGTCTCCGTCTTCAACTTGAGTGTTGTGAATCCAAATAGGAAAGGAACTACAATGGTGTCTCATCTACTTGTTCGAATCCCAAATTTCTTTGGGCAGTCTCCCCAGTCTGAGAAAACAACAAGAACTCTTCCCAAGAGCACCACACCCGGTCTCTCCTACGGATCAAAACCGGAATCTTCCATGTCACCACTTGCCTCGGCTTGCACTGTGCTACTACGAAATAAAGTCAGTCTTGTAGCATGCGCAACACAAATCTCAAATCAAGGTCCCATCAATGCATCCACCCTCCACGAGTAGAGGGAAGTTGCAGGTGGACAGTCAGTGCTCTCTATTCCAGCCAGTAATGAAATGGGCTGCAAGACTCTACAAGTATGGTCTATGAGGTGTACATATCAAATGTACATCTGCACAAAGCTCTAATTTCTAAACCCACCTGTCCACCTGGAGTTCTTCTGCCAGGAACCCCACCTCAGACCTCCGTCTTGGTCCTTTCGAAGAACAAGAACGCCCCACCTGGCCAGTGAGGTGGTGGCACTCCAGGCGACCCCAAAGGCGAGGTAGGGCTCGTGGGGCTCGTCGGGGAGCTGCTTGGGGAGGTCGGTGCTCCTGGAGGTCGATGATGGAAGATGGAAGAGCACCATGTTGCACCAGTTGGAAGATCTATGTGAGATGGAGGGGTGTGGGGATTCTCGGATTCGCAGTCTTTCGTCGGATCCTCTGGATCCAAAGAGAGGTCGGATCCTCGGTTCCTTCAAAGCCAGCAGGCTCTGGGTGTTGCTTGGGAGGTCTGCCTAGTTGGATGCACCAAATTGGGAGGTTGAAAGGTCTTGACCCATGTCACCTGTGAATGAAGGTGAAGGGTCAGAAACAAGGCCTATTCTGAAGCAGTCCTCCATGAACTACACTCCTGAAAACTAACATGGACCCATTGTTTTCCTCTATCAGCCAGTGGTTTTCAGAGTCCATGTTAGTCTTCCAGGGTGTATCCTATAAGAATCCGGGCTCGAAGCAATGGAAAGGGTCTGGTGAAAGGCTCCCGACCCCTGCGAAGAGGACGGGTACTGTACGACCCCTGCCATGGAGCGCCAATAATAATTACTTTGTACTTTACTTGGTGTTTGGGATTGATGGAGACTCTCGTTGATGATAAGCAAATCCTCTGATCCAATTCGTTTGGTCGATTCTTCCTTTGACTCAAAGCTCTTCCCTGGGGTGCCTCCCCCTTCCAATACACCAATTTGGATGTTCATAGGGAGATGGCCCATGGTGGCACAATCGGTTGTACCATCTCCGTCCAAATTGTTACAGGTTTTCTTGATTTCTTCATGTGTCTTCATATATCAAAGGTGTCACCCCGCAAAAAAGGGAGAAGGAGCTGTGCTGAAACCGTAGTTGTCAAGTTAATTTGGGTGTCCATCTGCCAGTCCAAGTTCTTCATGTTTACCAACAACCGGCGAAACTTCCAGGTTCCACTGGGTTTCATAAAGAGAACTCTCATCAGCATCCCAGTCACCTGGGTGTCCCAATTCCCTCAAGTTGGTTCTTGAATTATGTTGAATTGATGGATCATGATTCATTCCATCCGGAATGAATGGGTCAAATTTGATGGATCCCGGCCAATCTGTGCCATCCAGTGCAACTGATCTAAAGAAACAAAAGAACAATTACCTACCAACCTAGTCTCAAAGTACCTCGGAAAATGCTTACAAGCTATAGTTCTATGGGGTCGTGTCCCATGTTCTAAGGTACTGGGTCACCCAGGTCCAAGTCGAGCCTCCCTCTCCCCGGTGATCAGGAACCTCCCTCGCCTTCCCCCACAGTGATCCCGTCCTGTGGGTGACATGGGAAAACCTGCATGGGGGCGGTGCGAACGCGCGGTGCATCGCGACATTGCGACATCGTCCGACATGATTTTTTAGGTTCCGACGAGAAGATGAGGATGATGATGATGAGGATGATGATGGTGATGATGGTTAGCTATGCAGGCCTTTCTCAAAAGTATAGTTACTATATTTCACTGGCGTCTATACTGGTTTGCTGGGAGACACCCTATGTTGAGGGCCAACTCATCAGAAAATCGACAACAGGAACAATAGCATCTTCTGATACCGGGATCCACCAACAGCCTCAATTTCCGGAGGCAATTTTCCAGTGAAAACACACCGTAATTCAAAAGGCATTTTCCTGAAAAGGCACTATAATTATTTGATTGCCACAAATGACAGCGGGTGGAGCTCTCAAAATGTCACCTCCCCTGCCCAAAAAAAAGGGTTATCCAAACCTCCCCTGCCCAAAACCACGGTTATATCCAAGCGGTGTAGGAATATGATTTGTGCCGTTTCCAAGATCCCTATCTATTTATATAGTAGATCGACGGTTTTTGGGGTGGGAGAGAGTCCCTGTTCCGAAAAGTGAAAAATAGGCGTGTCGAACGCCCCTGGTTGACCACGAAAAGTCCATACTGATGTAGTACGTACCACCGATTTTCAACAATCCCATGCTTAGACCTTCCATCTCCTCTCCTAACAGAATCCCTGCGTCCCGGTCGCCCATTCACCGCCGTCCTTTGGACCGGGAAAGGACCGCACCTTGCGGAGGCATCAGGTGCACTCCTGGCAGACTTTGAGGACCTGACCAGGATGACCCGGGGAAGTTACATAAGAAATCCTTGAAGTTTGAGGAGTTTAAGATAGTTTAAGAGCATCCTGGTTGGTCACAGTTTGTCTAGCTGCCTAGCTCAGGTTTCTTGGGAAAATGCTATGGCAGTATCTGCGCATCATCTCAACCATTCATGGCGCGTCTAGCAGTCCATCCGCTCGCCGTCCGCTCGCCGCAGATTCCGGGAACAGCGAGTTGGATGCTGGGCGAAGGAACTGGGAGTCGCTTGGCCATCGGTGTTTTACATCGCTTGGCCCAAGAATCGCAGGAAGACCTGGAATCCAAACCCCCAAAGACTGACAGGCACGAAGAATGGAGCGAGAAGTCAAACAAATCAAAATTGCACTAACTACGCATAACTACGCCAATTCCTGCAAATTCTATTTGCATTATATGCTCGAACTTCGCCAGCAAAGGACTATAGATCTTCTGTCAATGGGTGAATGAGCCGAGACGCGTCACAGTCACAGGGTGATCCTGAATATTTGACAGCTTTGGGCGCTCTAAGAGCTTTTACGTGAGAGTAGATGCACGAAACAGCGGACGCGCATGAACTCAGCTGCTGAAAGACCTCAGAATATCTACCAGGTGACCAGGTGCCTCCGACTCAATGGCCTCCAGCCTCGTAGCGATGGCTGAAAGCTAGAAAACATATTGGGGACCCTCTCAAATGCGTCCGGTATATATGCAAGTCCTGTCATCCCGAGTATTCCAAGAAGGACGACCTACACGTCGCGCAAGAATGCCTTTGTGGATGAGTCATTGGACCGACCTCAAATGTCGACATCAAACATGAATCGAGCTATTATCCACCAGTACCGTCATTGCAAATATATGTTTAAAAGCTTTCAAGCTAAACGGGGTCGGTGAGCTGAATGACGAACATATGCTCAAACTGCTCAAACGTCCAAAACCTTCAGGTCCTTCCAGTCCAAGAGATGGTCATCCCGCACATGGTCCTTCCCCCATGGCCCATTCATGCCCATTGTCCCGTCCTTGCGGCATCACCTGCCAGCTGGAGAAGCTTGAGAAACAGGTGTTCTACGGAACTCGTCCGGCGCTAGGCGCTAGGCTCTGACAGCTTTACATGCTTGTCAGCTTGTCCCTTTCTCTGTTTGCTACAGGGCATGCACCTAAAGCTGAGGCGATCCGGGAAAAGAATCGCAAGACATTCTGTATTGCACAGGATCCAGTACAGAAACCAAGGGGGGAAGGCATTGACCTAGGACGGAGTCTCGATTGGTTTGATCGTTGACAAAGCATGGTTTGAACCCCGGTTCTTGATCTTCACACACTCACTCTCGAACCAAAACCCGCGTCGAATCACCACTCGAAGCCATGGAACTCCAGCCTAAGTTCATCTATGGAACTCGTTCTAGGAGTTCGATTGCGTGGATGGTGTTTTAGATCCTTTTAGACCTTCCAGGGGCCCTGGATGTTTCTTTAAAACATTGTTTACCCCTATCAATCCAACTCCATGGAAATGCTTGGTGTTTTTGCAATGATCTGCCGACAAATGAGTCGGCCTTTTTCGGAGTACTTCGAGATAGGTCCCATCAGGTTCCGACCACAAAATGCACTCGATTATAATAGGTCCCAGCAGTGGAGAGCTTTGGAGAACTAGGAGACCACACCTTTGTGCCGCGAAGTGGGCCACATGAGAAACACAATGGGTAGGCTGCATGTATATATGGCTATACATTCCACCCTCCAGGCTGAGAACGCTTCTCCGGCGCCTTTCTTTTAGAGTCTCAACATTCCACGCGGGTTAAGGTATCTCGACGCGTTCCAAACCGAACGAAGGCGGATCTTTCCACCAAATCGGTTCAGCCCCGGGGCGAGGGGCTGTGTCTGTCTCCGAACGGCGCCTGGAAGTGTGCCAGCTGCGGTGGAACGGTTCCTCAGGCAGCGGAGCTGGCCGCGTTCGTCCGAAATCGGTTCGTGGTGGTCAAGGGGGCGTGGAGGAAAAGCGAGCATGTGTTCAGCAAAGCAAGCCTGGAGGACAAGATTGTGGGTCATGTAGTTCAGAGTGCTGGAAAATTCATGGTCACATTGACCTAGATACCCGGATACTCTATATATATATATATATACATAGTCCAATGTAGCCTACAAAACGCCTGCATGGTGTAGATGCATTTCATGAATTGTCCTTTCGCCCGTTACGATCACTCGCATTTATTTTCTGGTCCAGACGATCAGCCAGAAACCAGCCGCCACCCGCCAGACGATCACAAGACCACCCACCCACCGAACAAGCTCCGCCCAGCGGCGAACTTGCCGTCCTGGACCGGGTCCAGGAGAAGTCGGCATGAGCAACACCCTCAGTGAACTCCGCAAACCGAGCAACTCGCTTCTCGCGCGAAGTAGGGTGGAGCTGCAAAAATGCAAAATTGCATCGGTCTTTCACCTCAAAGAGGGAGACCTTCAACGACCGTTCGGCTCGGGAAATAGACCTCTCTATGTTGGGAGACGTTGGGAGAGTCTCTGTATTCAAACACACACCCCTGAATGCCACGAAATCTGGTGGATGAGAAGATTGGAGACAGGTGCATCATTGCTGTGTCCAGTGCGGGAAGAGGTCCAAATCCACAGCTGCTGTGAAACGTCCAAAATTCACAGCATGTCGACGAGTCACGCTTGATTCATTGAGTGCTTCGATGTCTCCTGCCGGGAGAGTGGTCATGTGCAGCTCTGCTCCAGCTCGGATCATTGCGATGTGAGTCGCCGCCCCAAGCATAAAGGGATAAGAGTAATCCAAAAAATTGTCAAGGGGAAAACAAAATCCTATTCCTATATAGACTATTAATTATTAATATAGTCTACTATATAACTTTGTTCTTAATTGAACAATAACGACTCCTCCTGAAACCGCCCTGCAAGCAACTTGCCCCATTACCCCTGGCACTCAGAGTTATATCATTACCAGTTCCCTTTTCTTCTTCTGCATGGGCAAGTAATTAATCTCCAAGACACAAAAAGTCTTTCCTCCCGAAGCTGAACAAATCACCCTACAAGCTTGTGACAGCTTGTGATCATGATCAACATTCAAAAACGCTTAGTTCCTCTTCGATGCAGTCGAAACCCTAAACCGTTGATTTTTCGGACGCTCATGGGTGACCACTCTGGAGACTCTTTCCGCCGACATCCCCAGTCTCATTTGAGCAGCACAGGAGGGACAAACGTCTCACAGAACTCATCAGAAAGTTGTACCCAAACACTCCATGTATGGAATATTATGTCCACCCCAACTGATCTGCAAAAGTAGGCAAATATGGCAATTGCATGGAGTGTCTGGGCTAGGACCAAGGACAGATCATCATGAAGAATCAAAACCTCCGCTTCGGACTGTGCCAGACCGTGCCACCTGGAACACGCACGGTCCGCACGTCGCGCACGTTCTCTTCACCACGTCGCGCCACGACGCTCAAGTCTAACACACCCAGTCAGGTCCAGTGCAGGACGGACAGCGTGCGGGTCCTTGGAGCGGCTACATACCACTCGACCGGAGCGTGTTTGAGCCCAATCAGCAACACGGGTCCGGAGCGTGTCCGCCACGCCGATCGGAGGATGTGGTGCCCATCACCTTAGGAGGACGACTGTTCTTAATGAATTCCACTTTTCTTTTTGTATAATATGGGTGAATAAAAAGTGTGTATACCATTGTTCAGCAAACAAAAAGTGGTCATCGTTTTGCAGCTTGCGCGTGCGGTCATCATGTCGACCGTGCTGGGTGAAAGCATTCATGCAGTCAGCGGAATCTTAACTGAAACCCTGTGAGTGAATTCCCCGAAAAGACCTCGGGCCCCATCCTCTGCGTTTTTCTGAGGATCCAGCCGCTCAGTGTGTGGTCCATCAATTTCTTGGAGCTCTATCACTCTACCAAGCCTTAGCCTGTGAGCCCAGACAAGTCGCTCTTCGCATGTCCGCCCGAAAGGTCTTCTCTATTCGCCCCGCAGCTCCAGCTCCGTCCTCCTTCATGCCCTTTGCCCAACCCACACCCGACATCCACATGGACCGTCTGCCAGTTCCGTCCCACCTGTGCCGATGAAAAGGACCAACTATTTGGATCGTTGCTTGGACTCGAGAAGATGCAGGTGTACCTGACGCTGCCACAACTGCGCGGCCAGGACAGAATCACATCGCGGACAGGTTACAGTGGCTGATCATACCTATAAATCGTCCAACGGTGCAACAATTCTGCCTACCTTGGCTGCTTTGGGAGATGCCAAAGGCATCTCCAAATTCCGCGGTTTGTTGGATCTTCTCTGCAGGTCTCTCCTCTTCTCTTCCCCATGACCTGAGATCGTTAACTGTGACCGTTTGGCCTCCACATCAGGTCCGCTTTTTCGAAGCGTCCAGGAGCGCTCCGATGGGGCACGCGGCGTTGCGGCTGAAGCCAGATGCCATCACCAACAAAGCACAGTGATGCGAGTCCTTAGTCAGCAACCAACAACGATTAGACACAAGGCTTGCACGATTCTGCAATACTGCGCAACCAATTTTCAAGATTTTAGAAGCACATATCCAACCGAACATCCAACTGTTCGGCTGACAATGGATGTGTGCCATGGTCAAAAGCTGTTTGCGGATCCGTCATGTTTTGAAGGCATATTTTTCTGTGGATGACCGTACCCCAAACAAAGAACTCTCTGCAACCAATCTGGGTAGACTGTTAGCTAGACTGTTAGACCAGTTGGGGAAGAGGTATACGGAAAGACATTGATCCAGGTCTTTGAAGATGACCATCTTGACAGCTCACCACTGATCCAAGCTTATCCACTGCTTCGGGTGACTAAAGCTCATGGCCAAAGCCTGCCTCACGAAGACTGCGCAGCAGGCGCAGCAGACAACTCGGTCTTAGGTCCCGGCCACGCAGGCGGAAGGCAAGGCCCTGCGGATGAGGTTGATTTTCAGTGGGGGTTCACACCATTTATTCCAAAAACATGATGAATTAGGCCAACCCCTGGTAAGCAACCGTTAACAGACCATCAGTTCTTGCAGTTTGATTTGCGGCATGCCGATGTTTGCGGCGTTCGGCGGCCGCGATCCCAGGCGGAGATCCCAAAGTTTCGGTGTTTGGGGGAATTTCATCATTCTTTCTGGAGCTCTTGAATTCAAATGAATTCAAATTTGACGTCCCAAGTCCCAAATGGCAGAAGTGCTACGATGAGTAGCTTGAGTCCAGCATCTTGGCCGATTGACCATATTGGAACCGCCTGGGCAGAACCAGCAACACAATGCAGAACCGGCACTCCGTGAATCTGGATGCCGGGCCGCCCGGCGGATTGGAATATCATCAGCTGAAGGTATTCCAATAAGGATCGAAAAAGAAGTCGGGCCGAGCTCGGACCGAGTCGGACTTGAACCCTCAACAGCAGGTGGGTTGCAAGAGGAGACGCCTGAAAGCCCCAAGAGGAGAAGGTCCACGGAATGTGGAACCATTCATCAAAGCATGACGCCTGAATGTCCCACCCCCAAACACCCCAAGAGAAATGCCTCAAAACGACACCTTTGGATAGATTGAAAGCGCTGTTTCTGGGAGCCGCTAACACTTGAGGTACTAGTGAATCAGCTTTCTACAGCATGGTATCATTGCATGTCACATCCTGAGGAAGCCTCAATTGCTGAGGACGGCTCCATGTAATTTGCACGCAAAACACCGCGCCTCGCCCCAGTGATGCGCGGCCGGATGGTCACGCTGCGATTGGTGTCGAACCACAAGCCGCTCCTGGAGCCGAGGCTTGCAGTTCCCTCGCTCAGGCTCAGCTGGCTGAGGTCAACACATTCCCAAACGGTTCCGTTGGTGTCCGGCTTCGGGGGGTAGGTCTCGTTGCCACTCTTGAACGCGCCGTACGTCGTGTTCTTGCTTCGGAAGTAAGACAAACAGGATCGCAGTGGAGATATTTGGAACGATTCCCGTGGTCTTCCCCAAAGTGTTGTTTTTCCAATTGCTTGTGGCATTCGTTGAGTCTCCGGGGCTAGTTCTTGCTGCATAAACACACGCTAACAGGAACACCTCCGTCGCCCAAACTGCGCCAGCGCAAGCGCAGTAGGTCACCCAATTGGCGTCCAAAGCACCACTTCTCTCCTTGGCACCCTGAAGTCATGAAAGCCATCCGTGTCCTTGCTCCTTGAACACCTAGCTACTTGATCTACTTGAAAGTGACACCCTAAGCACAGGACAGCTGAAGAAGAACAGCTGAAACAACACACGAAGTACGTTCAGCGATGGTCGCCACAGCCCTTTCTTGGGTGTGAAATCGGTCTGATTGGCACTGGTTGGTCCGATGTGATCAAAACACTTGTGGAAAAAACCGGTCATGCCGCATGTCATGCCCCTGTCAGTTCAGTCATGTTCAGTCATTTGACAGCGAGGTACGACTAGTGACTATAGTTACATGCTTTAGTGTCAACACCATTGACGCGGCATCCCGATCGGCGAGTTCGTCCTGAAGCGGAGGGAGAGATTCAGAGATGGCTCTTCCTGATCAGATCTCTTCAGAAATCGGGCGCAGATCTCCCGCTCCAGAGTTCAAGCGTGATACCGAATGCAACATACATCGGTGACCGCGTCAACGCAACAAACTTAAGGACCCAACCTACTGGTGGATCCATTAAAGAGGCCAAAATGATGGACCTTGGAATCTAATACTAAAACACCGAGGTCCATGTTCTTCAAGTACTTAGAACAGCTTTAAAATGGACCTTGGAATTTCATCAGTTTCTTCAGGTACTTTTGCCTAATCTAAAAACACCCCGGTCGTCTCCGGCCTGATCGTTCCAGGGGACTATGTCCTGGATGCCAGACCTGGTATGGACTGCATGGACTGCATGGACTGAGGGGGAAACAAAAGATGCGATGACCAAGAGTGGAGGTGTTTTTTCACCTCTCTCAGTTGAACGTCCAGGACCTGGTGTGGGGAGAAGAACCCGGGTCCTAACTCCTTTCGGAAAGCACCATGTTTAGGCTCCAAAACACGGGTCACCCCAGGTTCTAGGTGCCTTCTTGTTTTTAAAGCTAGAAGCCTCTGACATCTTCTGACCCGAAAGAACAATGGAACCCTCTGGATGGTCAGGGAATCAATCAGTCACCCTGTGGAACATCGTCACAAAAAGGAACCCCAAAACGAAGAGAACCTCCATGACCTCGACGCGGGGAAGAGCGCGTCGTTCATGTCAAAACACTCGTTCCCAATGTTTGGCACCCGAAAAATGACCGAAGGACCAAATTGCAAACAGTCGGGATTGGTCCTCGGAAACTGATTTGATGCCATTGTGATGTGAGTCTTCCCATCCGCCAAAGACGCACGTGCCACATCGGAAAAGAGCCACTTACAAGTCTTTTTGGCTGTGGTGACTTGGATTTGCTGAAAGAAACGGGTAGAGTCGAGAAAAACCTATTTCCCAGAAGGGGATTCACTCGTGGGGAATGTAAAAGATCACCCAAAGCAAAACCTGTTGCAGCTCTGGTCAGGCCAAACCCTCTGAGACTCCTGAGGCTAGAGCGAGACCTCAAATCTGCAGAAGAAGAGATGACTGCCATTGCTGGTGTTGATGTAGTCGGCAACACCTGGAATCGCGGCCCTTGGACTTGGTTTTCAAACCTATAAGAATCAAGGACCCTCAGTTCGGTGAAGGTTTGGAGGGTCCAAACCCCTGCGTTCTGCAGGGTCCAAACCCTCCATAGGAGGGTCCAATGATTCTTAGGGTGGGATGGTTGTGGAGGATGGTCTAGATTTTTTGGGTGGTCCCCAAACAAGATATCCAATGCATTCTCAGCTCGGTGTCTTTCCCGATGCACAACTGAGGTTGTCTAAAATACTCTCTCTGTTTCCCAAAACCACGTTAGACGCTATCGTTGTTTTTTGTATGCATTGTCCATGTCGTTTTACAGTGCTTTGACTAACTGCAACTAATATACAGTGCACTGCATGCAGTGCGTGGAACTTGGCAGACATGAAGACACAACGCATAATATCAATTCATTCCATGCTAGAAGGCCATGCAATAGCAACTCACCAAAAATAACTCATAACTCCCCTCTTACTGTGCATGAAGATCACATGTCTGGGCCTGTCTACGAGAAGGTGTTTTAGGATGTTTTAGGCTTGCTGTGAAGCAAGGATGTCACATGCACGAGCAGTATAGCATAGTGAAAAAGTCCGCTAGGCATCATAGGGCCTAGGACCCCCTAGCCTAGCGCCTATCATAGGGCCTAGGACCCCCTAGCCTATAGGCCCTATCATAAGGCCTAGAATCCTAGGGTCTATCATAGGCCGTAGGACCGGGCATCTAAGGACCCAAACCTCCTGCATAGGGGCCTACCCTAGGTCAAGCTTACCCCTATCACGGGACTTCTGTGTGCCAAGCTGGACAACTCCGGTTGCCGAAATGGAGGGCAGCTCCTTTTGGTCTGCATGACCTCATCATCAATCATTCACTCACATTCATGCACTTCCTTCGCATCCGGAAAGCACCTCACCAGCTTTCGTCCCAGGGCTCCAGACCATCCGCACTCCAGGCCCCTTCTCGCGCACGGCGTGCCACCGGCCCGCTCCTTCACCGGCACCCGGTGTCGTTGTCTGTGGACAGTGGGTCCGTGAGACGTCCCGTTTCACATGCGTTTTCACCAGCGTTGACCCGACCGGGTAGGGTGGGAAACCGACGTCGTGAACAGCTCGCGGAGACGGGCCCGGTTGGTGTCCGCGGGTGGTGGGGAGACTGGCGGAAGCATGTGAAGACCACTGGCCGCGCTGGCATGCGCTGGCATTCCTCAACCGAGAGTCTGATGGAATTGCATGACCCCGGCCAAACAAAAGACATCAAACACGTGCATACTACCGTGGACCAGCAGTTCCATTTCGGAATGCTTGTGGGTCCCATCCATTGAGTGAATGTGACAGGGTCACCCCCTATCCTGCAAGTTCGTTCACCCCAACTCGGAACTGCGGTCTATGCATGTCTATGCACCGAATTCTGGGGCCATGGTCTCGCCACAGCGCCCCGGCCAATCCTGGGCGCGCCGACCCACCCGGAACATGTCCTTGTGAGGCGACAGTTCTGCAGAAAGCGTGTCACCAGCGCAGGGCTTTCCGCCTGGGAGCATCGAGTCCGTGCTGCGTCGATCGGGCGCGCGGATCGAAAGATGATCGGGTGAGCACGGGCCGTGCTCCACGTGCTCCACGTGCTACGAAGTGGTTCGACAAACCGGAAAGGAAATCGAAATCCTTCGACATGTGATCTGAACCTTGTAGCCTTGCAGTCTCGGTACAAAGCAAAATTCCATTTGGGACCAAATCGAAAAAAAATGAAGAACACATGGAAGAACACCAGCAGTTCCATGGTCGGTGCCGTGGAAAACAGTCCTGACAGACGGATGTCCCACATCCACCAGGCCGACGGATGTCCCACCGCACGGTGGGAGCACAAGTGCTCCATTTGGCGCCTCCCATCGTGACAAAGAGATCCCGAGGCGCAAGAGGATCACATCAGCCTCGCCAGATGGGATGATGCTCGTGCAATTGTTGATGGCGAGCGGGGCAAAATGGGGCAAAAAGAAAGACATATATGAAGCAAAACCAGCTCCAGACTAAAACAACGATTAGAAACTGTGAACGGCTATGAACCAACCACTGACACGTGTCTCATGGCTTGGATTGGTCTTTTGGGAACGAAAAGCGAAGGACATGTGAATCCCTTGGTGAATCTGCGGAAGTTCAGATGTTCAGGTCTAACTCTTCCAATTCGCTCCAAGCCGTTGATACGACGGCAGATCAAACATACCTAGAAGCACCTGGGGCAGAAATTTCTGCCTCAGTCCGATTTGCCCGGGAGGATTCGCGGATTTAGGGGAAATCCGCGCCAGGTAGGAATTTCCGCGGGCAGCAGGGAATTTTTGCCTCAAGCAAAATCCAACATAGCAACTCAAAAACCATTACAACCTACCAGGTTGTCTCTTCCATGATTGCAGACCACATATCGTTCTGCATAGCTTCACATCTCAAGATCTGACACCCTACGATTTTGACACTTCTAAATTCATGACATTCACAAAGAGGCTGCGACATATGTTCAAGCCCTTCAAAGGCATCAAAGGCACTGTTCTTGAATCCCGCCTTCTACCAGGAAATTTCCGCCCGTTTCCCGTGTATTTCCGCCGTTTTCCCGGGTATTTCCGCCTCTTTCCCGGGTATTTCTGCCTTTTTCCCGGGCATTTTCGCGCCAGGTGTTTTCAACTTTGGACTGATTTTAGCCCCTTTGTGATCATTCCGCACAAGAAACCTTCAAAAACAAAGACACATAATATATGATATGGTGGTAGCCAGATTTGCAGGTGGAGGTGGAAACTTAAGCGCTGCAAATGTTTTCTTCTCATTGCGGTGACCGTTCCAGGCAGAAATGCCCAATGTAAACCACAAAAATATTCAACTCCTCTAGAATATGTAGTCTTTGTCTCACTGGATTCCTGAAAGGGAATATTCGCGGCAACAAAAACATTTCCGCGGCAAACAGCTGATTTCCGCCCCAGGATGGGAAGAGCCGCTCTTCCCGAAAAAGGCAAGAATTTCTGCCCAAAGGATCTTCTAGGTATTCAGACTCAACAAGTTGGCAGACTTTGACAGCTTTGAGCACCTTGGTTCCCTTCGCGCGCAGATGCCCATCGCGAGAACGAGGTGTCGCAGTCCCAGTGACGTGCGTGGAGAACGAAGGTTCCGGTCCGAGTTTCCGGCCCCACTCACTTCGGAAGGGCTGAGCCCCTCTAAGGAGCTTCCATAACCTCGGTGCCAAGTGACTCGATTTCTGGAGCGGTCAGGGGCGGTCCGCGGCGGTCCTGGTGGGTAGGTAGCTAGACACCCCATTGGCATTTCTGGCTTTGCATTGCTTGGTCACGCAACCAGGCTGCTCTGGTCAACCGAGCACCAGTACCCGGCACATTCAACAACACGTGAAAGTAACTCTTAAGCGCTGATCCAACCACTCAGGTTGCAAGTAGTGATTCTATGTGGATTGGAATCGACGGTGACTGATCTAGCAAAAATCAATCCACATGTCCCATGGACCATGACCTCACTGCAAAAAAACAAGGCCTCCCACCTTGAAAACAACAGCTTCTTGTACACGCGCAGCACGCACATGCGTTCTCACATGTGGATGTCTACCCCACAGGCTGTTGCTGTGGATGTTTCCCCGGCAACTTCCCGGCATCAGCGCTGTCAAGTGACTGCATGTGACTCAGATAGGGTTTTTGAACGGTTCAACCGTTGTGCAACGGTTTTTCACTGGTTTATTGAACCCGATGTGCCCCCGGAATTGAGGTGGAAGCTCAAACTAACTAACGCTTGACTAAGTCCAACCCTTTTAGGATGTCTCTTATCGGCATTGATCTTCTCAGAAGACCAGGGGGCGTCCTAGTCAAATGTCATGTTCACCCTGCCATCCAATAGGGAGCTCCGGGGCCCACGGAAGTTTCCTGATCCAAACGTCGATCCCCTCATGATGCGTCAGCTACCGAAGAAGATGCACACAACACACCGCACCTACACCCTGCTTCTGGCACTGCTTGGCACTGGCGCTCTGGCGCAACAGGATTGGCACCGGACTGTCACAGGACTAGCTCCTTCCATCCGCAGCTCTCACACGCATAGTGCAGGCTTTGTGCCGCTCCTTCGGCCGTTTGGCCGCTCGTCGTCCAGCGGCCCCGCGTGGGACAGCCGCTGTCTTGGTCGTGGCGCAGCTCTGCCAGGCCCAAGAGCTCGGCGACCTCCTGGCGAAACCGGGTGAAAACACGGTAATACCAGAGCTATGCCTGATACATCCTGATACCATAGGGGGGGTTCTGTATGCTATTGGGCTGTGAAAATCTGAAAAAGCTACCAGAAATCATGTTGATCCATCTTCTTTTTCCCAGGATTGGAGAGTCATAGCAGCATAGCTTCGTGTGCGAAGGCGTCACGTTTTTTTCTCCTAATAGACTGAGTCTGAGGACCCGGAGCGATGAACTCTTACGAAGTGTGTGGGAATTGCGAGCAAGGACTTCTTCCAAGAAAAAGTCTTGCGAAAGAAGAATGGGCCCCTTGCTTCAGGGTCAGCGGAAAAGCCAGAATCAGAAAACAACCCGCACCTCTAACGCACAGATCCACGTGGCAAATCTGTTTTTGGCTTTTGGCACGGCCAGTGGCGAACGGTGGAATTCCACATCCCAAAGGATCTTTGGATCTTCACTCGACAGTCATTGTCAATTGTAAGCAGTCTCATATATGTATTTGGGTCCTACATGTCATGTGATCCCAAAAAGAGTCGAGCCACATGCTCCCACGGTGCCACCGTTTTCCCTCCTCCAAGGTGAGCTGCTCGTCCATGAGAGGCACCTGAGGTGCGGCCGTTCGTGCGGTTCCGCCAGTCACGGGCGGTCTTTTGCGTTTGGAGAAGAACATCTGCAGGTGGGTGTGGTTTGAAACGCACTGAACGACAGAGAAACGCAACAGTTTTATCCAGTGTTCATGGCTTTTCATCTCAGCGTTTGAACAAACCTCTCCTGTAACTGTTGAAAGGTAGGCGCTTTCGGGGGCATGTGATGCGAGCCACCCAGCTGAGCCTGTGAGGCTCTGTGAGGTCAGTTCTGGAAGAATTGAGGGAGAATGGACCGTTTTAAGTGGCACAGCTCTGCTCTCCAATCAAGGAAGGAGTGATTGGTTTTAACTTCAAAGCCGCACATGCTGCAATGCTCCACCAGATCTTGAACATAAGCTACTTCGATGGTAAAAAAGGACGTCGAAATCCTAGTCCAGAAGCTATCTTGAGGAGCCAAAGGTTGAAGGCAACAAAAGATGAATGTGACTTTGAAAGCGACAAAAGAAACGAAAAAGTCTGTGTTTTGCTTCGTGTGCGAAGGGGCCTTGGTTCCACTTCCCCCACCACCGCCTCCATGCCGTGCGCGAACCAAAACCAGTGCTCGAACAACGTACGCGCACGACGTGCCGGCCTTCAAAGGACACTGGGAGCACAGCAGCGACGAGTCCTTGAGTTCAATCCGTCCGATGCCACAGCTGGGACAGGACACGCCCGGGAGCAAGTGCTGCTCGTAGAGTGCCGCGTCCGCGGCATTCTGTTGTTCCTCGGTTTCTACTGGTGATCACAGGTCACGTGATAGCAGGAGCAAACATGGGTGTCAAGCTTGAAGCACTATTATTATATTAATAAGTTGATGATTCAAACACAAAAATGAACAAGAAACAGGAGTGAAACTCACACAACCTGTATAAACCATCACATTCCAAACTCCGATGACAAATTCCCTCAAACTCAGTGGTTTGCTAGGAGATACCCCAGCAAACATGTCTCACGACTGCACGTCTGCTCGCGAGTTTTCGCGTGCAAACAAAAAAAAAGAAAAAAAACACGCGCCTCGAGTTGCAGGACTTCCTCCTGAGCCACTCGTTGGGCTTCTTCCCAAAGCTCACGCAGAATCTCTTCTTCCAGTGCCAGCAAGGTCTCATGATCCAAGTCTTCGTCTGCGAAAGGGAAAGGAGAAGAACGAAGCTCCTGCAGCTTCGTGGGAGCTTCGAAGCAGCTTAGGGGACCGCACGGAGTCTTTGGACACCAAATAGACCGAGGAAGGAAACTGGACGACCGTGAGAAACAGGGATGGATGTAAGAAAAATTGTGCATGGCAATTGGTGGCACAAGAAATGATCTGGTCCACTATAAATTCGTATATGATTAGTCTGGACAGCACAGGCTTGGAGGCAACATCAACAAGCAAAACACAATACCACCTACCATAGCAGCTGCCAAAACCACACATTCCATTTCGCGCACCTCTTGCAGCACTCCGCGCAGCTTCGCCAGTAAACCATGCTCCGTCGCCATGGGTTGCTCCAGCACGTTGAGCTCCGTCCGCTTGCTCTGCAGGCGCATCTCGCGGTTCTCCCGCGCCCGGCTTAGGCACCGCGCTCGCAGCGCATCCAGGGCACTGGGGCGGCCAAGTTGTTTCAGGGGCGCACGGGGCGCCATGGCGAGCGAGTGAAAATCAGAAGCTGAGAATGAGGTGTGTGGGAATCCGAAGTGGAGTCTAGTGCCATCGCCAGAGGAGTGAGAGGCCTCGCCGTTGCTTATTCTTTGACAGCTGTTGCTTCTTGTTGCTGGTGTTCGTGATTGCCGAACGTGTGCTGCAGACGTGCTGTGAAATCGCTCAGCTCCTTATAACGATTTGGTCGATCCTATCCTTCGTACGACGAATCTGAGAGGCCAAAATGCCACATCATGAAACATCATGAAACGTCATAGCTGTGACTGTCATCGGGTGACCGTGGAATAGAGAACAAAGGTGCAAGAATTGTGTCATGGTGAATTGCGCGAGAAAATGTGCCTTCCTCGTTTTGAGAAACGCAAAACGAGAAGTCTCGCACCTAGGCAGTCATCTGAATGAATGCACAAGTGAAGCATTTTGCGCTGGTTCCGCGACTGCGACGCGCTGCTTCCGCACGGATCTCGGGCGTCGCACGGATTAGGTCGGATGCATCGACATGCAGATCGAGGACCTGCAACGGCCAGACGCGCGCGGAACGGTCGGTTCTCCCAAACGGTGAACATGGCCGTTTCGGATGGCTGGTTAGGCTTCTCGTTGGGCGAAAATTGGCCCCGGTGGAACGGCTGACTTCCAGGGCCCCAGAAATGGATTTATTAATATTTATGAGGGATATTCACGAATCCCAGGGGTTGGGCTGACCCATGCCATGTAAAAAACATGGGCCCCACACCAAGCTGCAAAGGCCAAGAAAGATGTCCTATTGGAACCATATTGAACCCAGCCAGAAAACGTGTGAAATTGGGCCGTTGGGCACGGATTCACGACTGGATTCATGATGGTGACTCCTCACAAGTAGAAATCGTTTAGAACGTCACCATGCTTCATCTCCAAGGAGCCACAAAGGCTTGCCCGGAGGCAGGATAGGGGTGCCCCTGTCACATCCACGGCCGCTGGATGGGACGAACCAAACCACCCCAAGATGTGACTCCCACTCCCGTGTATGCATCCTGCCAAAGCTCTGTTGCGACTCTGTTTAGATTCGCAGCTCTCGGAGATCAGATTTTTTCTATCACAGCTCTTCCCAAAGCAACTGCAGGCGGAACATCCAAGAGAGGTGAAGTGACCTAAGTGACCTGTAAAAGGACCTGTCACCTGGGGTACCTATGGGATAGTAATAAGTATATAGGGTGCTTCAACCTCTGTTGGATAGTCCCAGGCTATCAGAGATTGGACGTTGACTTTTATATTTATACGCCTCCAGAGGAGACCTGTTGGAAGGTGCTGGTAGAAACATCATGATAGCCCGATAATGCCCCCCATACTTGTAGCCCTTTTTCAACCACCCCGATTTGATCAAGACAGATCCCTCCATGGGGTCCAGTCTCTTTTTCTGGTGCCAAACTCAGTCCCTGAGTTCCGGACAGATTGCTCGGTGACCACAGGTTCAGCCACATCAACGACCGGCAAGCTTGGCACGTCAATGGGGTTGTAGCCTCCCGCGTTTTCGGGGACCGGAACGGGGACCGGATGGATCCGTAGGGTATGTAGGTCGAGCAACTGGTCGAGCATTGACTGTGTTCAATTGAAAATCGACGTTTCAAAACCCATTGTCGTCCGGTGGCTGCATCATGTTCCATCTAAACTGCACTCAGGATCACTGAGGAGCAAAAACTGATTCCCCTTGCCCGTTTGCTATATTTTGCTATGGACACGTTGGGAGTCGCTTCATGTTGAACCTGTGAGTGGACGTAGATCTTCCAACTGTGCAACATGTCTGCCAAAGAAAAGGCTCGTTTTGTGGATGAAAAGCAAGACATGCTGCAGAGATGGAAGATCCAGGTATATGGATCAGGAGTTTCCTCCAAAGAGCCTGATCATTCCCAAGAGGAGTGGATCCGTCACCTTGCGTACCAGCGCCACCTCGGCAGCTCCTATTCTCGATTTTCCGGTCGCATGTCTGACTGTCCTTTTTCTTGTATGAAAAGAAGCAAGTATCTCCAAAAGAAGTTGATTGCACTTAACCTCACCCTCGTTCTTTTCCTTGTTTCTTCCACCTGATCGCCCAATTCATTCCTTTCAACATCTTTCAACCCCTCAAACACGAGTGAGTGGCTCCAATTTGGTTGTTTAAATAGGGAGACCTCCCAGGTAACGACCCTAAGAAGGAAAATAAACTTGGACCAGTCTACCCAGCCAAGGCCATGTTACAAACCATGCAACGGACGCCCCAGCTGCCCTCGCTTACGGACGGCGCCTGCCCAGCTGCCCTCACACTGCAGTTGTGGCGTGAGAGATGGCCAGGAGGAGCTGAACAACGCGCGGAAGAAGCGTACGGGCAACGCGAGGAACGGTCGAGGAAGTGGAACTTGGTCGTTGAACTCGGACCTGAATTGACCGGATTTGGGCAAAACGAAGAACATTGGAAGAAGAAATAGCTGGTGACTGTGAGGGTATGACAGGATGACAGGATGATGAAAAAATATTTGGATGAGTCGAACGTACGTTTCTCCGCAGGAATCTGACGTTGGACTTCACCGGTGCCCGTGACTCGGGAGGACCAAAAACCACCAAAACCGCTCGAGAAGCTCCAGTCGAGCTCAGGATGCGAAGCATCTCTCGATGTTTTGAGTGTTTGATATGCCAAACAGCCGGGCGCACTTGGCAGGCACCCGGCAAAGGAGATCGGCCGCATAGAAGGCCTCCTCCTCGGTTTCTGATGAATTCTGTGGAGCTATTCAGGTGGCCAGGCCACAGCTGGAGGCAAGATGGAAAGATGTTTAACACCAAAAAGATCCAAAACGTGCTATAGGAAAAGCATCTTGACAGCGTCAAGCGGCTGCATCCATTGTTGTCCGACTCACAAGTTCATAAATTTAAATGTTCGCTGCCGACATGCTGTCGACGCAGTTGGATTTCCGCTGTCTGTCATGTGCCTCAGGCTCCTACTCTGATAGCTTCACACACAATGGGAGATGCCCAGCCCATCTGAATCACGCATGGCCTTAGACATCCGCGTTCTCCGGTTCTCGTTCTCGACATGTCGTCTCGAGCTCCGCATCCGACGTCGACATCCGTCTCGTCTCGTGGGTTCTGGGAGTCTTCGTGTGTCATGACACGGTCTCATCGTAGCGGCATGAGGGGTTTCTTGGGACGAAATCACCGACCCAGCTGAGACAACATGAGGCCTGTGTGTTCGGGTGTTCCACCTGCAAGGGCGCTGGAGGCGCATCGGAAAGCAGAAGCATCGGTCAGCGAAATGACTGGAAGCCAGAAAGGCTGTAGATGTGCCAAGAGGTTCCTTCTTACGCGCCTGTCTGTGGTGTATCCGCAAATCAATTAGAACTGGCCCCTGTCTGCATCAAACAATCGACCAGCCTCCTCCAGGTGGCACCCCCAAGATGAACCTATTAAGAGTTCTCACCTCACTCATCCCACAGTTCTCCAGCACTAAAACATGCCAAACCTGGTTGCTGGGCGACGCGTGTCGACACGCCGCGACGTGTCGGGTCAGGCAAACCCAGTGGCGCCCAGTCAAACATGTCCTGATCGCCGCAGTAATGGCAATACTTGGTGGTGATGACTGTGAACAATTCAACCAAAGGGAGGGGGCTAGGATAACACCAGGGACCTCCCAACCGAGTTCATTTGTGTTTTGATCTTGCTTCGCTCATGGGGGGGGTCTCCCCATTCAAACAAACACCCATCGTCACCCGTCTCAGTGCCCGGAAGGGTCTCCCTTGTTTGCCCTTCATTCAGCAGGTCGCAGAATGGACACTGGAAGCTGCCCGCTGCTGCCGAAGGAAAGGAGCAAGGTCTGCAGTGGCCGAGCTCCACGGCGTTTCACCCGGCGTTTCGCCCAGGTGGAGCCCCCTGGGGGGGGCGGGTGAGTGGCATGAGCGACTTGCTGCCATGTGAGGAAGAAGTGCTCTTCATGTTTGAAGATCTGCCAGGACCTTCAGTCAGTGACCGAACTTGAGATCCCAGTGGCGGGTCGGTCACTTAGACCCTGAAGAGGTCACCTACCAGACTCCAACCAGGTCACTTTGAAGGTCCTGGTGCAGGGCGACTTGCTGCATGGTTACTTTAACTTGTTGGGCTGACTCTTCGGCACGTAGACGGAGTCAGAGCGGGTGCAGCTCTAAGCGAAATCTGAAGCTGAGCTGTGTTCTTACGGATTGTCCTTACATGTACTCCTCGATGATGTTCGTTCATACGTCACGGTGCGAGTCACGCCTCTCATGCGTATACTCAAACATGGATCACCTTCCAACAATCCGAAAATCCTGTGCGGAGACTTTTGGTCGACCATAACTCATTCTATGTTGAGGAGATTTGAGGAGTCCAGAATCTATTCAGTTGATTGTATACAAATTAAACACTCTGATTCTGAGCACAGGGGAGTTTTGACATCCTGGAGGAAGGAATTGCCCTCGCTTGGTTTTGGGATGTTTGGGATAGTCAGGTTTTCACTCTGATCTTCAATGAGACGACTTGATCTGTGCGACAGGTTTCACTCTGATCTCTCTCATTCCTTGGCCGCCTTGGCCGCCTTGGCCTTCCTGATCGAAATTCAACCACCGCTGCCGTCAGGTGAAGCTTTCCGAACGAAGCCCTAAAGGATCAACCCACACCATGTGCCACACCGTGTGACCCGCCCTCGGTCCAAGCAGCCTGTTCGGTCAAGGCCCCTCGAGCATAGACCAAGGAGGAAGAGTCAGGATCTAAGCTTGGCCGCACCTGCAAAAGCGCGACGCGTGCGACCCGTTTCTCCGATGTGATCGGCAACACGTGGTGGACGAGAGGTGGGGCAATTCACGTGAAGGGAGCCGGCGAGCGTGCGCCGGCTGTTACATGGAACATCGCACGGGGTTTCTGGTTTGATGTTTCTGAATGGGGACGTTGAAATCACCAAACTATCCGGTTAGGTTGGGGCCCATCGATCAGTTCAAAATCCCAGTGACCAACCATTTATAGTCGAAAAGAGAAGAGTCTTGCGGTTTTTTTTACCGAGTTCCTGTATACTTGTTTGTCGCCGTCACGAGGGGAAGCAAAAAACCATGATCTTTGGCATTTCGAGAGGGGAAGAACCAATTGTTTCACCACCTGAAACGGCTCGCGGAGCCCTGGATGAGGCTGGGAGCGCTGGATGTGGTGTGCTTTCCTCCGATCACCCGGTTGGATTGGCTCTTCTCCGACACCAGGCCGAGGAGCGCTGGTCCGGTATTTCGGCACTTTAAAAGCAAGTGCAGCTCAAACCTTACGCCCAAAATAAAAGGGCGTAACCAACAAGGCTATAAGATGCTATATAGTCAATATAGTGGTTCCTAAATAGATAGAACCGGTTTCCAATACATTTTGAAAGGGGATCTACATGTTCTGTATCTATTTGGGGTCTATGTAAGAATCTATTTATGCATTAAGTCTCTTCTGCACCCAAGATCTGAGGATCCTGGCAAAGACCTCCATGGTCGTGAGGATCTGCACGCCAAATCCTGCAGCATGTTTCTTTCATCCGCATGCTGTGAACTGACAGCGGCAACTAGTAGGCAGGGACTACAAAACCCTTGGAAGATCAAGTTGAGGGTAATTAGGTTAAATGGATTGTCAAATGTTCAAACAAGATCTCTTTTTTCTTGTGGGGCTTTGATTAATCCAGAGTCTAGTTTAAATGGATGATACTGTTTTTCGTGTATATGCGTGCCATTTAGGACATGAGGACCTGGGGCTGTCCTTCCAGGGAATTCTCGTCCATGCAAGAGCCAGGCGTGCACAAGAGCAGCTCCTTAGCAGCCGGACAACGAGAACCAGCACTCATGGATTCCTCCTGCATGGTAAACAAGGAACTAACATGAAATGATATGAAATGAATTGAAATGATATCAACCACGAATCACAAAGGGGTGGTTTCTAGATGTTTTTAGTCCCTAAGTGAGTGGACAAGAGGCACCTACTTGGGCACCCTTATCCTCCAATGGGCACCCTGTCTTGTGACTCCTGGAAATGAGATTTGTTGGTTTCTTCTCAGCGGAGCAGAGCTCCGAGCACCGGTGAAGCACATCACTTCTCTCAGCGAAAAAGAAAACAAGGAGCAAAAGAACGCTGGTAGTCTTTGGACACTATGCTCGGTGGAGGCCACCGCAAGTAGCTTGGAGGCCATCGCTACGAACGGAGCAAGGACGCTACTAGTAGTGTCCTCTTGCTACTACAAGTGAAACGATTCCCAGTGAAACGATTCCCAAGGAAGCTTCTAGCTCCTAGTAGATTCTTGTTACTAGTAGCGATGGCCTCCAATGTACTAGCGATGGCCTCCACCGAGCATAGCGTCCTTGCTCCCAATACAATTTTAATCATTCAGATATATAATAGACCTTCAGACTCAGACTCCAACCGATAAAACAGTTGTGTGACCCGTCCACGTCTTTTCAGTGCGCCGAAAGCGACCTGAGCTCCTGGCTCCCTTGGCCAAGAGTGTGGACCTCGAACAGCGTGGCATCGGTCGCTGTGGTTTTCTGGGTCATCGATGGGGCGTTTTACTCAGGGACTCCTCGGGGCGAAACAGAGCGGCAAGGTCCAGTGAGCGGCAAGGCCTCACCGGACAGTTATAGCTTTCTTTTGAAATGCAGCCAAGAATTCGATACATCTAGAATCATCTTAATATATCTTAATATAAGATAAATGACGAGGACATTCTCGGACTGTCACTATGCCACTATGCCTCACGACCAGGAGACACCACCCAGCAAGAAAGACTGCAAAAAGAGTTTGGTTTGGGTCCGGATCCCTATCGGTGCAGCAATGGGCAGGTACTGGCAGGTGTTGGAAGTGGGGTTCTTGACCATTGATGGATGGAGAACCACCGACTTCACCCCCCAAAAATTCACCCATCGAACCACGAAGCCTTCGGTCAGCATCCCGGTCCGAACCGGGTCGTCAAGTCCCTCAGGTCGCCGCATGCGACCAGGCATTTCAGGCCTAGCTGGGTCGATCTTCGGACGAAATGGTGCGCAGTTGGAAGCTGCCTTGTCGGCCAAACCAGGTTGCTTGCTTGCTTGCTTCGAAAGGCTTCAACAATGTTGCTCAGACCGCTTGTTCTTTTTCAAGCGTTGTTGTGTCGAGGTTCTTTCCCAAATGCTGCTTGCTAAACTAGGCTAGTGGGTCTCTTTCTGATGATGCAAAGGAGCAAACCATCAGCAAACCACTGCTTCTGTGCACATTTGGCCTTTTTTGAGGGGCACGTGTTGAATCCTCTCTTAGACTTCCAACAAGCCCAGCCCCAGCGTCCTTCCTAAGACCGTCGAGACAAAAGTCCTGAGGCTTTCGGCGTATCCAAAGAGCCTGACAGACAGAATGGCGAGGTGCTCATCGAGTTGACTGAGTGATTTAAGGTGCTTTTGAGGAGCTTTGGGCTGATGAACGAGTGCATTTGATTTAACAAAAACCTAACTTGTGCAGGACGAGCCAGGCAAAACTGAAGAAGTGTCCGTCATCAAAGGCACTGGTCCTGCTTGGACTGTGGGATTATGAGACGAAGAACACCATCTTGACACCATCTTCGGTGCATGTGCCAGGGGCCCGTGTCATATTTCCAGTATTTTCCAACTTGGATGAGTTCCTACATCCCAGGAGTCAAGTTGAACAGGAGCGCCACTGAGTGGGTCATAGTGGGACGAAACACTGCTCCAAAGCTCGCGAAAAACCATGCCGCAGAGTGACACACCAGCAGCGTGGAGTTGATGCGAACGGCCAGGACCTCGATGTGAAAGGCGTTGTGATTTTGGCGAACTTGGCAGGTATACCATATACCTCTCCTGGATGGGTAAGTGAACACCCCTCAAGGCCCACCGGCACTGGTCCAAACACGAAACTCACATCACGGACACAGCGTTCCACAGCTTTGACAGCCTTTCCTCCACGGTCTTCTCTACTCTGAGCGATCGACCCTTTCGGACAAGCGCATGGGGTACCGCGAGCTCTCCCAAGTCATCCGAAAGCGACAGTACTGCGCCTCACCGAACGAGCGAAGCGTAGGGCGGGTGGTGAGTGCGCACACAGCTTGGCGTGACGGACGCGGAGAGCGAGTGATGGGGTCACCTGTACTAGCTATATACAATTTACTGCAGTTCTGACTCTTGGCAATGGTTCATGGGGGAAGCTCAAAATGATCAATATCACTCACCACTGCCACCACTGGGTGTTGATAGAAAACGCCAAACCATGCCAAACCCACATCAATGGTCAAGGGTTCAAACCCTAAACATGCCAAAAAGAAAAGCATTGCACTTTTTCAGGCATTAGATTAGTATAGACATTCTCGTGAGAAACAACAAAATTTAAACAAACAACCGCCATGTTCGGCCCGCCATGTTTTTTTCGGCCTCATAAGCAACGAAGGAGCTACCAGTGATCGCGAAGCGCACGGTGGTCTTGGCTGGGACAATGTGGGGCACCACGGCGAAGGGTCCAACCTCGGTTCGGGCACTGCACGCACCGCGGTCAAACCTTGGTGCCACGGCCTGAACATGACCGTGCATGTGTCATGTGTCATGTGTGTGTTATGATAGTGACGGTGGATTTGACCCTTGTGTACGAAAGGTTCTTTGATAACTCATGTTACATGTTCATACTAGAACGAAATCAAGGCATTCCAAGGCGTCAGCAACCTTGGAGATCACTTTGGGAAGAAAACCTGCTGCTTCAGTTGAGCTTTCTGTGGAGGCTCCTCTGACTCGATCCATTTTTGCATTCGTTGGAGGCCATCGCTCTTATAGGTTGGAGGCTGATGGCAGGGCCCCTGGGTTCACGAGCTGCAGAGCGGAAGACGGTGAGATTCAAAGCGCTCAAAAGCACTCCGTCCTCTTTCGGAACGCAAAAAAGGCCATTCGGAAGCGGAACGGGTCCGAGTAACGCAGTCGAATCAGGCTTCTACACCAAGCTTTTGGGTTTCTTGATCACAAATAATGTGAAAATATTGTCAAACCAAAGCTGAGAAGAAGAAGCCTCTTCCATCCTCTTCCTCGTCCATCTTACAAACCTTATTTCTGATCCACCCGGACGTCCATCTGCACAACAACCCATCTTGGAACAAAAAATTTACATAACGTCACACAACACCAGCAGAAACACCCGGGCGGGGCGCCAAGCGCAATCCGATCCGCGCGCCGCACTCCACCTCCACTCTCCGCTCCTCGCAGGGCGTCTCTCGCAATGCCAAGACCTCCTCCACGCGTGATGGATCCACCTCGTCTGATCCAGGATCGGTCTCACCCGGTCTGACCGCGGCACCGCGGAACCGGCGAACCCTGAGGTTGACGGAATGGACGGAACTTGAGGTCGGCGGTCGACCTACGACGGGGTGAGTCGGAGGGTTTTTGACCTACTGCATCCTACTGCCATCCTTATGAGTGCGGGTCTGAGTTCTTCGTATGAACCGTTACCAAAGCGCAGGGGGAAGTCACACTCACACCCCAAAAAGACCACACACACATACACACATGTACCATCATGTACCCCAAAAGAACAACGGTTTCCAAACCAATCCTTTGTTTCTCTTCACACCAACCGCGACATGGTCAATGTGACCGGCGTTCTTTTGGGCTTCTGGGAGACCTCCGACGTCCGGCAGCTGAACTACAGCTGCAGCAGACCGAACGGCCGAAGAGCTGGTCTTCACGTGACCGGCGGAATGACCCTGCCAAGCAGCCAGGAAGAAGGAGGCCTAGGCCGATGGGAGCATGGGGGTGATTGAAAGCATGTGGGCATTTGTCTTGGCGTATCTGGGCATATCTGAACAATTCAGATGAGGACCTTGATGGACCTTGATGGACCTTGACTACATGTTCGATCTAAAACTTTAGGTCAGTGGAACCATGTCATGCAGGCAGTCTCATGTTCCCAGACCGGTCGTGTCTGAGGAAAATATGACCCATGTGAGGCGGTGGCAAAACGATGATCGGCTGCTCGAATCATTCCCTTCAGACAAGCGACAAGCGGCCTCGACAAGCGGAAAAAAGAGGCTCGGTATCATATGGATCAGCAGCACCCAGGACAAGGGTGGCTTTGGGATGGAATATATACCACGCTGACAAGGGTGGTGCTGGGAGAGGGAACCTGTTATAATTAAGTGGGAGGTTGGTCTCTACACAAATCGATCGTCCATGGACGTCGATGGTCTCCATGATCTCTTCAAGGGGTCAGCAAAACATCTACACTCCTTTCGAACACATCGAAGTTGAATCCACCCTTCTTGTAGCGAAAAAAGGACCAAAACACGTCTTCCCAAATGGAGGCCAATGATCCAATGGGTTTGTTCTTCCATGCACCTTTACCCAGACCCTCCGTTCACAGCCCGACCGGATCCGACCGGTTTTCTTCAAAGCCTATGGATTGGTTCGACCCGGTCGACCCCTGTCGGGATGATTCGGGCCCGACCCCTCCAGAGGATTCGGGCCCAGGGTCGAGTCTGGGTAGATGTGTCTTTTCGGGGAAATCCTCCGAACGTCCGATCCGAAGAACAGCACCGATGTCAGTTCCAGACGTTCACCAGCGCTTCGCCCGGCAAGCCGGTGGCCGTGTAGGGGCATAACCTCAACGGATGAAGTCGGTTGCCTAGGCCTCATGCTGACATGCTCAAATGGCCTTGCAAATAACAAGATGAGCCGCATTTCGCCGCTATTCGTAACCTCTAGACATGCTAGCCGACCAGTGTGCTCCAGTGCAACATGGCGGCCGACTTCCGGACTGGTTTCTTCTGCACATGGTATCACAGGGTCACAGACTGACCAGTTCGGAGGATGAGGATGTGGGACATGGCCCACGTCCACTCTACTTTGAAGGTCATGCTGTGTTGGATCTGGTTTGTTTGCTTTCATACCAACGCATGTCGCGTCTGCAACCATGCCCTGCAGCTGCACCCTTGTCGTCCTGACAGCAACCTGTGTTTTCTTGGCCACTGACAGCGAGGAATTGGACTGAGGTTGGCAAAGCCTTGCAGAAAATCAGCAGCAACTCAGTTGTCTGTACTTCGCCGTCGAAAACCGAGAACAAGAGCAGGAGTTTCCTCCTCTGGAATTGAGCAGCGGAGAAGTGGGACGTCCTTTGGAATATCGGTTCCAACACAAATCAAAAAAGCTGTTCTACTTCATTCTTTGCCCCTGGAGAAGTCCTTTGGCCCCCAAAACGTTGGATTGTCACTTCCCAACTTTGTTCGCAAAAAAGGACATGGCCATACCGCTTTGATCCGCGAACCGGGCCTGCATTCTTGTGCCAACAGATCAGTCGACTCCAGCCAAGGTTTTGAGACCAAGGCATAGATGGTCTTCCCACTCAAGCCCGAGCCTGTGCGAATGAAGCTCTAAGGTTTCAGAACGTCGGGGCTGAAAACCGTCTCTTGGGGCTGTGAGGAAACAGTCACTGCACGGCTTGTTCAAAGTTCCTGGTGTCGAACTTAAGGTCTCAAAAGGCGTTCTTGGTGTTCCAAGACTGTATGAGAAAAAAATAGATGAGGATGAGGATCTAAAAGAACACATGTCAAACAAATGTCCAACCAATTCAGGTGCCGCTTCAAATGAGGCCTCTCAGAGACACACATCTGATTCACACTGGAAGTAGATGAACAAGCACTGAGGCTAGGCTCCACAACCAAGCATAACCTGTTGTCTCAACTTCCGCTGTTGGGAGCCCAAGTGGTTTTGTCAGCGACGCCCCCCAGCATGCCGGAGCTCAGAAAGACTCAGCTCAAGCTACGGAAAAAAAGGGACGCACTTCTTGAGATGGGAACCCCACGCTCCCCCCACTCGCTGCCAATCTGGAAACATGAGCATTTCTAAGGTCCGAGGAAGTCTACGACATAGATTTCTCTGAGCACGACCCGTGTATGACGATCGCCACAGCGCAGCGGGTGTGGGGTTCGATGAGGTGTTGCTCCTTCGGGTGTTGATTCATGCCTTGTGCAGCTGTATACCTATTGATCTATAGATCTTCCAACTGTGCAAGAGTTCTGCTGAAAAAACACCGAAAAATGGCATGGTTTTAATAGATGGGCAGAAAATGGCAGAAATTTTGGTTTGTTCGAAGATCCAGCTATAAAGTACAAAGTAGAAGATTCGAGGTAGTCGGCCGCCAGCTGTGATGGTTTTCATGGACAGGTCTGATCGCTCTATGATTCTGCCTTTCGTGTGCACGGGGGCGGAGTCGGCAGGCCTGCCACATGGATCAAAGGAAATGCCCCCGTTGATTGCACCTGGCACGCGTCAGGCCGTGATGAAAACCCCTAAGAATGGAAGATTTGGGTTGGACTCAGACTGGGGGAGGACTCAGCACCCTCAGAAACCATCCGAAAGAAAGGACCTAGGACCTATGAATATACCCACTGAGACTGATGCGGCAGAAGTGCGCTAGAAACGCATCAACCCTCAATCAATCCAATACAGAACAGTTGAACCCTAAAGATACAAAGTTTACTCTGTCAAAGGACAGTAACTACGTAATGCAATCATCTCGATCACCTCGAGTAAACTTAGTAGCGAAATAATAAGTACGCTACTTACCCTGGCTAAACTTAGTATGCATTCACACCGCAGTTTACTTAATTTAGTAGTTGAAGATGAGGGTATATATATAATTAATATATACTGTCTTCTGCTGAAGTGGACCACGTTCTTTTGAAAGAAGTTTCTCGCTGGGAACACTTCCTGGCCTACAGGATCTCACCCAGTCCAAACGAGCAGCCGCAGGAGAACAAGGAGCGGCTCTGGACTCTTGGGCGACGGCTCTCGACCAGAACTGACACGCGACGATCACATCACATGGTTAAGTGGAGTGGAACACCTGTGTAGTCAACTGGAATCGATGCAGTGTCTGCCACTGTCTGCCAGTGTCCAGGTCGGTCGGTCGAACTGCAGAAAACATTTTGCCATGACCGGGCCGTGGGTTTTGGCCAACGATCTGAGATCACTAGACTCTCAACCTATCACCAAGCCAAAGGCACATGCTGTGGAAGTTCAAATCACCAAGAATGTCTCAAGACAGCAAGAGGAGCGGAGCTGCTGGGCACTAGCTTAATTACTAAGATTTAAAGGCCTTTGTCTTCCCTGTTTGGTCACAAAATCATTGAGTGTTGCTTGGCTCACTGCTTTCCAGCATGAAAAAAACACTTTCTGCCCAGGACACCTCCCAATAGCCGGAGCACTCCCCACGACCCGCAAAGCACCTGCGGCATCGCCCCAGTGATACGCACGTTCGTCGCCACATAGACCTCGTTGAAGCCGCGGAAACCCCCCCGCGGCCGACGAACCGCGCGGGACCTCCCGAGCCGGGCGGTCGAAAGGGGACCAAAGGTCCTTGTACAAACTCCTTACCCAGACGCTCCGTTCACAGCCCGACTCAAAGCCATTCAAAGCCTATGGATTGGTTCGACCCGGTCGACCCCTGACCCGAGGATTCGGGCCCGACCCCTCCAGAGGATTCGGGCCCAGGGTCGAGTCTGGGTAGCAAAGAATCCTTGTTCGGATAAAAACTCCAGGGTGAGATACTGATCTTCGTGCAGAGTCAGCTCGGAGTGGGATGTTGGTGACTTTTGGACGCGGCAACGCAGTCAAAGGTTCACCTCTGAAATGTCGTGCAATTGCTTTTGCCCCAGCACCTCGTGACAGGAAAGAGAATAGTCTTGTGGTGTGATGGAACTGTGAAGCACAAAGAGCTTTGGCAGTGAACTCAGGGTGCTGAGTGCTGGTTCTTGCCGTCTCTGTCAGCCTTCGGCCTGACATATCTACACCACGCATTCCTAGACAAAGCAGGTGGTGATATATGTCTACCGATGATTAAACCACCGGCACTGCACCTGCAAGTTCAGTCCACAACTCAAGAGTCATGAGCCCGTGAAAGTGACAGGCACAAGACAGAAAGCGACAGGCTTGAAGTGACACTGGACTTGGTGCTTCTACTTCATGGAAGGTGTGTCAGAAATGACTTTCATATATGTTCATGACATACATTGGCAAAATGGGTGAACAGATAACCAACCAGCAACTGCAACTATATAGCTGACTCCATATTTTCGGGGGAAGAATATAGCTGTCCATGCAGGAGAAAAGTGTGTTTTGTTTCATGCAGGTTCGAAGCATATGATCTTTGTCTCTCCCTTTACAAATGGCACCAGCTTCTCCCGCAGCTTCCACCGGAATCATCTCATCTGGGCTGAACAATCATCAGCTCGTCCGGGCATCAACCGGCTTTAACTGGGCCAAAGCCGTCAGGCCGTCGGGGTCCGCATCGCCAAGTCCATCCTGCTGGGTCTCGTTTCTTGTCACAAGCCCAGCAAGAGACAAAGGGCCAACAAATTGGCACTGATCATCACTGTGGCATCTGTGCCATCCTGCGCACGTGGTCACGAACGTCTAGCGATGGGGTTCAAGAGCGCCCCCAGCTGCAGGAGGGAAGCCAAACGAAAGAGCGCCCCAAACGCGGATGATCACAGGATCCTGCTTGGGCCTCACTCTTTGCTGTTCTTTGGCTGTCTAATTTCGGCGGGTAAGAGCTTAAGAGAATCCAACATCCACAGAGCGACCTGATTTGTTTGCAGGCTCACCCAGAAACCGACGCAGACTGTGAGACTATATGATTTATGTTTGTTTAACGGTTGGTTCCGGAGAGGTTGTAAAATCAGGCCTAGGACTTCCTCGATGTGCTTGTAATTGGTTTGAACTCCATTTTGCCATTAAAAAAAAAGAACCTCAATCATCCGTCCTCAGAGCTTCGCCATCCGTAAAACGTCCCAGTTTCGGATTGCAGAACGAAAAAGAGCGCGAGCGCTCAGACAGTCAGACAACGTCATTCAAGTCATTCAGAGAGCCGACCATGGTCGATTCAAAACAGCACCATTCCTTACCATTGAAGTGCTCCGTCCCAGCGTGTATGGGTGTTACGGGAGACCTCCCAGACCGTTCCGACCGGGATCAGGCATCACATAATAGAATGGACATAGACCAGTCAATCCAGCCAGGGTCCCCAAAGTAATTAACAAATATACCGCTGAAACCCAGGTCCTTCACCTGACAACCCATGCAGCTTTGTGAAGTCTTCTCACCGCGCTTTTCGTGGTACAGACCGCGACTCGAAGCGTTTTCGCCTGGGTGAGTCCACTCCCTGTGCTCGTGGTCTCGCTCACCGAGCTCGTGGTGCCGGAGTCGCCGGTGGTGCCGGACGTGGTAGAGGCGCCACTGGTGGTGTCTGGAGCGAAATGGAAGGGTCAAGATGGTTTCCAGACCCTAAGATGACCCTTACACTCCCGAAAACTAACATGGACCCTGAAAATGGATCTTTGGAAGACGAGTTTCCTCTACAAACCAGTCAGGGTCCATGTTAGTTTTCCACAGGGTAGAATTGGTGAGCTATAAAGGAAACTAGGGCCTGAAGAAAACGCTAGGTTCTGGCAGGCCATCTGCAGGAGACTTTGTAGAGATCATCTGGAATCTGAAAACTTTTGGAGGGTTGTACCCACAGCGTGTCACGGTGTCACTGCGGAATGCCAGGAATGGCTACGATGCGATGTGCAAGTTGTTATCAGGCTGCCCTCATTCAAATAGCAAACACACAGGTGCCAACAAAAGGGGCAACAAAAAAGCATGGGTGCCTCCAAAAACACAACTTTGTTGCCCTGGCTGAATCAACGCAGTTTGTCGGCATCGTGCCGTTCGGCAGTCCCATGCGCCTGCTTGTGTGGTGCTGATGACAATTTGGTCGTTTGAAAAGCAGCTGGCGGTCGTTGTAGGCATGGCATTCGGATTCGTGTTGTCCACATAGGAGTTGAACACGTACTCAGCGCAGGCAAAAATGCACTCATCACCCGTGACGAGGGCCCACACATCATTGCGGATGCTCTTTGCAGTCCGTTTGAAGAAGCCCCTGTGAATCCCCTGTGACTGACTTTGATGGAAAAATAATCCATATGGAATTAGAGCGTTTCGCGTGCTTGCAAGAGTCTGCAGAAAGGGTCGACGACTGCTATACCATGCCATACCTAGATCTTCCAACTATGCAAAAAATCTGCCTTTTGGCTTAGTTTTATAAATGAAATGCGTATACATTTTCCATAACTACCAGATTACCAATTGAACGTGCTTTCTTGGCCGGATTGCTGAGACATTCGGCCACTCGTTACGAAGGATTTCTCCATCACATGCAATCCGGATGTGGATGGGATCGTCTGGTGGACTGTGAGAAGGTCACATGAGAGTCAGATATGAACGACCCAAATCCGTCAAAGAACGAATTCACCAACAACCTGGGCGAAGCAGCACCGCCCCGCACGGCACGAACCGCTGGTGCACGGGGGGTTCGCTCCACCTGGCCACCTCCAAGGAGGCACTGGCCAAGGAACACCTTGCAGATCGCCTGGATAGATCGCCTTCCCGTTCTTGGCCAAATCTCCCACGGTGTAATTCACGTGATCAGTACTTCCAAACCAACCTGAAGGAGCCAACACACGTTCGCAATCGAATTCCGTATTGGAGGCAAGATTTACAGAGCCTAACCCTGCATGAGAGAGCCGAACCCTGCTGTTCCAATGGTTTGAGCCCGGTTTTGAACTTGCTGGTTGTTCCATCATGAAAATGCATATATTACCTATATACGTATACTAGATCGTCCAACTGTGCAACATGTGTGCCGAAAAGGGATCATTTTGGTTGGTTTTATGTAGAAATGCAAAACCTTCCCCCCGACCCAAGCAAAACCTTGGAACTCTGGAACTGGTGTTTGGGACATGAACCACTTTGCGGCGTGACTTCGTGCACAAGTTAGCCAAACCGCAACCTAGTACCAGCACCTTCATGCACCTTCCAACAGGTCTCCGAAATGGAGGCTTTTGTAGACGTAAAAGTCGCATGTGGTGACCTGTTGGAGGGTGCTGGTATAGCTGATTCACCTGGAACTGGAATGGCGCAACCACACATTCTGCGGCCTTTCGCAATCCACCCATGCTGGTTTCCAATCGCAATTGGCCTGTTTCCAATCCTAATGGACACATGGAACGGCACCAATAACTCATTGGGATCCTCCACATGGATTTGGGAACTGACCATGTTTGACCTGTTGGTTGCCCAACAGGTCGCCGCCTCGCTCGCAGATCGACCGATCGACCGATCAACCTGGAAGATCGAAAAAACATCGGGTTCCGCGGGCGTGGAAGATGGCAATCTTTCACCTAATGGATCTCCATGAAAAAAGGCCTCTGAGAACCGATCCATTGGATTCGAAGTCCATGGATGGCGGCTGCGGGTCATAAAATCCCTGGCAGGTTGGCCTCCCAGTAGTCGATTCTGTTCGTGTTTTGCGGACAAAAACCTGGGTTGTGCGGTACATGAAGTGTCTGAGATCTGGTCGAGGTGCGCGCATTGGGAAGCGCCAATCTCCACGCATTGCGAAGGCTTTGCCCTTGAGTTGTATCTGCCAACAGCTCATCCTGGCAGATTCAAAGGTTGGTTCATCTGGCGGCAAATGCAAGCCTGTGGGTGACAAAAAGGGGTCAGTCAGTACCATTGCGGCAAGTCAGTCAGGAAAATATTTGCACACAACTTCAGAACCATTGGTCCAGAATAGAGTTTGTTTGCTAAAATCTATTACCTGCCACCGGCCCACCAGCCCTCGACGGTTTTTTGCATCATGCGATCCAGTCGTCGAAGTCTGCGAGTCGTCGAGGTGAGTGACTCGCCTTCAGCAGAAAGAGCAGGGCCCTCTCTCCTCCATTTAATCCGCTGGATGTGGACTCTCCCCTGCAGTGCAGTGTGATGATGCATTGATATGCATAAGGACGCGGACGTCCAGAGTTTCTGTGGGAAGCCAAAAGAGTCACCAAGCCCTCGTCTAGCGAATTGAGTTGACTTAGCGGGGTTATATAGAGGGAGGCAGTGCGTCGTTGGAGACTCCTGTCAGTATACTGTGCAAGGACCAGCCCATCGAGAAGTGACGGAGCATTTGATTTGGCCAAAACCTGACTCGTAAGCAATTCTGCTTTCGTTGCGGTGGCCCAGTCTTGTTCATTTTAGGTATAGATTTACTCTGCTTGGCTTCAAGTACCCTGTGAAAAGGTGTTTGGGGGTGGGTTTGGAGGGTCCAAAAACAATACCTTTTGGTGATGTACGACTGGAACCCTATAGGGCTACAATTATAATGTTGATTCATGGATTTTTTTCGGCGACATCAACCGAGATTCACATAGCTGGGCCAGCCACCAGCTGGCGCATAGCCAGCTTTGCCAACGATCCATGGATTTCCGTCACGATCCGCCTGGCCCGATCCGCGACGGGCTCGCGCGCGCGCAAAGGAAACAGCAGACGTCCTATAGGATCGTTCTGAGATCAAAACAACGGATGCAGCGTGCATCCTGGTTTTTCCTGACCTGGTGACCTGCTTGACATCTGTTTTCAACTGCCTTTCTGACCTCTTCCACCGATGATGTTTCACTTAGAGATGGTCCCGCTGATGTCTCCAAAAAAATACAACACCGAAAAAAGGGTTTCGGAAGAAAGAACGCGACCCCGTCCGAAGTGAAACCGCCGATCTTCTCGGGGTGAACCATCGCCTGTGGCATGGTGAAGCAGTTGTTGGGCCACGCGGTGAAATCGTCCGCGGTGGTGTCATCCAAGGTCACCAGGGCGAATAAACAACTCAGACCTCGACCGCTGAAACGACACGAAGGAACACCATCAAGGGCAAGCTGATCTAGTTCTTTGGGTAGATTCTTGCTTGACTCCCATGTACTACTTTATGAGGTCTTGCTGGGCAAGGTGGCTCCTTTGATGGGCCACCGTCTATCGCGCTCATGCGTCACGGTGTGTGTGTGTGTGTGTCACCCTCCGTTTGCAGGAGTTTAAACCCGATTCGTTTGCAGGGGCGTGTGGCCCTCTGGTCCTACCACACGCCATGAAGCTGTGGACAAGAGGGGGATGCAGAGCCTGATCAGCTCTGTGTATCTGCAAAACAACTGTTGTTCACGCTGTCTACTTTCTTGGTTTGCTTCCATGGTCGTTCTCATGATAGATACCAAGCCAGGTTCCCTCGCTACGTATTTAGTAACTAGAGTCCGCAGTCATGCAAACCTTTTTGTTAAACACCTTCACTTCCACTGACCCAGCCGCCTTGCCGTTTGCGTCCATTTTTCGTGGGGATTGAGTGAACTGCAAACCCATTGTCAAAGTGTGTGCCGCTCTGCCATCCCACTTGGGTGCAGGGTGTGATCTCCCGCAAGGGAGCGCTGAAACTACCGTGGATCACGTTTGACTTCGCGTTTTTCTGCACGCGTTGGATTCTCTTCTTGAATAAGTGTTTCACCCCATGAATCTACTGCCACAAAACTGCCGAGTTTACGGAGACTTGACGCCGCCGGGCATACGGAGAATAGACACCCGCCGGGTTCCCTTTTCTCTAACCCCCCCCCCCAAATTAGGTAACAGAAGGAAATGGTACTCGACACACTTGTGTGTCGGTGCCTTTCCTTCTGTTGTCCCTGTTCTAGTCTACTCTACCCAGGCGGTTTAAGATTAAAGTCCCGCTCCCTAGCTACTGCACGTAATTCATTTCCGCAACTATAGTGCTAAGTATTCAAGCATACACACACACACACGGACACACACATGTACATACATACTTTCTTTCTTACGTTTTTTGCCGTTTCTTGGGCTTTCTTTCAGGCTTTTTAGCTGGTTCTTGAGGCTCGTTTCCCTACCCCAGTCAAGGGCTAAGTAGTCACCTTTTGCTGCCCCTATCTTTCTCTCCTGCCCTTTTTGCGCTGCTCTTTCTGTTTTTCTTTCTCTCGTTTCTAAGGCTTTTTAGGTGTCTATTCAGGTTCTGTGCCGGAGCGCCGCGAAGCGGCCGGGTGTGTGTGTGTGTGTGTGTCACCCTCCGTTTCCAGGAGTTTAAACCCGATTCGTTTGCAGGGGCGTGTGGCCCTCTTGTCCTACCACACGCCATGAAGCTGTGGACAAGAGGGGGATGCAGAGCCTGACCAGCTCTGTGCACCTGCAAAACAACTGTTGTTCACGCTGTCTACTTTCTTGGTTTGCTTCCATGGTCGTTCTCATGATAGATCCCAAACCAGGTTTCCCTCGCTACGTATTTAGTAACTAGAGTCCGCAGTCATGCAAACCTTTTTGTTAAACACCTTCACTTCCACTGACCCAGCCGCCTTGCCGTTTGCATCCATTTTTCGTGGGAATTGAGTTAACTGCAAACCCATTGTCAAAGTGTGTGTCTCTGTTCAGCGAGCAAAAAACAATGCCAAGGGTGCTACGCCAGAAGCCTAAAACAAAGACTTGACCACGTCGACACTTTGGTGCTACGTGACTGACGACGAATGCCACCCAGGCGACGGGTGGTGTCACACAAGAGAGCTTGGAGTTGTTGCCCTTGCTACATGGCCAAGGCACCACTGTTGGAGTATGCACAGGTCTTGGTGAAGTTCGGGAGCTGCCCACTCCGCGTGAGGCTCTCGCAATCGTGGTTGGACATGCGCCAATCAAATCCGATGCACCTCGTAGGGTCGATCCGCACGGTGGCCCAGCGTACGGTCGCAGATCGAGGCGCATGCGGCATCGGGCCCCTAACGACGTCTGGACCTACAAAAAAAGAACATGGATGATCCACTCAAAGAAGGACAAAAGTTGACAAATATATTGGCAAATAAACTATAAAGGATAAACTTAGATGCGAAATTAGTTGATGAACCTCTGTCCCCCAACCTCTAACACGGTCTCATAGCCTTTCCCCACCCTTCCAACGAAAACGCTCCTCTCGAAAAAATTGCTAGTCGAAAACCCTTTAAGCGGCCTTCGGGAACCTTTGCGCCAGAAGGTGGAGCAAATCTCGGCACAGAAGCTAAAGCTGGGCGTCAAGCCCAGATCAGTGCCACTCACTGGATGGTTCACATAACTCCAACCATTCACCTGCACATACAGCAAAAAAGGCACGTTCCACCTACCTGCCTACCTACCTACCTATATATACCTACTTTCTCTCTTAGTGCGAGCGCAAGAACTCCTGTCACTTGTCTAGTATGTGCTCCTTTGGAATCAGAACTAGTTTGAAGTATGTTAACCTGAGTGGACCTCAGCATAGAACTGTTGATCCCTTGTCATCGTTTGGAAACAAAGAAAAGCTATATCTGAACCAATTTGGGGGAACCTTTGCACACTAAACCATATATTTATTGTGTCTAATGTAAACATATAACTGGGTTGGGTTACTGATGTTACTTGCAGATCTGAAAGCTTGAAAAAAACGGATCGCGACGTATTTAGAGACTCTGGAGATGAATAAGCTGATTTTCTTCAGATGTCCAGCTTCCCTGTTCGGGCCGACCTGAGTATCTGATCCAGTCTGCTGGAAAGGATGAAAAGGCAAAGGACTTGGGGCTACAACTGATTCTGGCGATCAGTTGGTTTCTTTGGCAAGAGTTCCTTACATATGTCACAGGGAAGGAATCCTCTTCCATCATCACCTCTTTGCGCAGGAACTTGGCAGGATTCTTCGCTGCAGGAACTTGCGCTCGCGCACGGATGTTGTAGAAGATACAAAGAACAACTCGTGCCCCCGGCCTTACTGAGCCGGATGTTGGCGTGGGGCAGCATCTTGTAGAACTGGGTCCAATCGAAGGGTTGGTTGCGGCCCAGCACTGATGGCTTGGGAGGCAAGACCGCCATGGAGTTGGACGTGTCCACGATGTAGTACCTCCGAGGTCTCGGACCGACGTCTCCCAGACGCCACCGCCTGGCCTCCTATCGTCCGACGTCGTCGGGTCGTTTGGTATGGACAGGTTCGAACTCGGTCAAGCTTGAGCTGAGCCAACTCGGACACTCTTTAACAGGTGGACTGTGGACTGGCTTTTGATCATGTTTTTATCATAGCGGGGCGCCCTCGGGGACTTGAACAGGGTAGCGAGTCATGCGAGTCAGCGAGTCATGCTGTTCTGTTTGCGTTGATCCATGGTTCATGGTTGGTGATCTGCAAAGCCCGCAAATCCTTGTTTGTATCAGCAGAAGCAAAATACATGTGTGTTCACTGCACAAAGAGGTCAGGGAATGTGAGAATCCTTGTGGTGTTGCGTCCCCAAAAAGGGTCCTTTTTGGACCGCATCTCTTCAACAATCATAGAAATGGACTTCCATGGCCTGGAAAGACCCTTCTCTTCTGCCAAGTCCCTGTAACCACAAAGACCAAGCGACGGGGACAGCGATTTGTGAAAATTGCACCCGGTTCTTCGAGAACATGACCAAACTTCATCCCCGTAGTTCGGTCACAAATTGACGTGAAAAAACAACAAACCTGTCAAGGTCACTGGATGGGACAAACTGAAGTAGTTGGGTCACGAAGTGAGGAAGTACATGTCTGACCTGATTGGATTATTTCACAAAAGTTGTTTCTCCATCCTCAAATACTACGATTGAGGATGTAGACAGAATTTGGAAACTTGCAAAATCTTGGTGTCCTAGCAAGAACGGCAAGGAAAAGCACATGTGTCCTAGATGTATACTGTTTGATGTCCAACATGATCTGGATAAAACAAAAATCATCCATAATTCATGCATTCCAAACATATCGGTAACCATGTTCAATCATGTTCACCTTGTCGGAGACAGAATCATCAGGACAACAAGTCCTCTTCACAGTTCCTGGAGGGGTCATAGTTGCTTGCCGTGACCATCAACACGAGGGTGTTCTCCCCCTGAACACTAAGAACCAATAGTGACCTGGCGCGTCCTTCTTTTCCGGCACTTCCGCTGTTTTCCGCGCGAAGAAAACGAAAAAAAAAAAACACCGCCTAAAGACAAAGCACACCCCAGCCGTCCCTCCCCCAGCCCCATTCATCCCTCGGAGCCGTGCCTCTTGATTCCCTCGGGATTCGGCAAGATCACATCCATCCCGGTGGAGCGGAAACCCCATTGAAGGCGTTCGCCTTGATACTCGCCTCAGCCACCCGCGAGGTGTGCACGTCTTGTGCGTATGTGGCGTTTCGAACAGCCGTAGTTTCAAAGGGCCGAATCAGAACGGTCTCATGCGAATGGCGGAAGCTGCGAATCAACTTGGAGGAACAAATTGATATGATGTAGGAAAGCATCTTGGAACCAACGTGCGAAGCACGTGCTTTGGGCCATCAATCAACCCTATGTCCCTTGGTCGAAGGAAAACAAGAGGAAGGCTCAGCAGTAGCAAACATGGGCACAAAATGTCAGGTCCGACCCCCCTGCCTCGGAGTGTCCAAGGACTTCTTATAAAAAGTCACCAACCGGCTGCGTTGGCAGCTGAGATGTTTTGAACAGCGACTCTTGAGAGAAGATTTCCCCGTGGATCCCAATTACCACTGTATAAGGAACCAGGGTGTGTATAGGCTGTATAGGTCTATACGGTCTATACTATTTGAATCTTTTGGAACCAGTCTTTGGTAATTGGATCCACTGGCTTTGAAAATGGGAAATTTGCTGAACAGGACTCCATCTCCCACCCATCGACATGGGTCGGACAATCCTGTCAATTCAAATAAGCCCAAGTTAAGCCCCAACAGCAAGTGAGGCAAAATGGATGTTTCAGATTCGGCCGCCCTGCCCCACCCTTGAAAGCAGAAAACTCTTTTTCCCCAAAGGGTTTACTGTTGGGGTTCTATCTTAGAAAGAAAAGAGCTGGCCACACTCACTGGCCGCGCCCCTGAACTCTGTGGCTGGGCTCTGTGTCCACCTCTTGTCCTCCGCGAGCGCGCGCTCATGTGCTATGGACAGCTTACTGGGCTCTTGTCCTCCTCTTGTCCTCTGTGCTGGGCTTTGTCCTCCTCGTGTCCTCGTCTTGGCCGCTGTGTCCGTGTCTTCGCCTCCTCTTGTCCTTGTCTTGGCCATAGCGATGTCAATGCCGACAAAAATTCATTGAGGAAGCAATTTGCTTTTGGGGTGAAATCGATTATTGACTAATATTGGTCTAAACGAATCGTTTTGAACCTGTTTGGGGCCTATGCTTGTGTAATTACCAAACTCGGAGGCATGTCAGTGTCAAGTGCCACTGCGTACCTTTCTCACAAGCATGTTCGGCAAATTTAGGGGCAAAGCCATTGGGGTGCCCAGATTGGCTGAACCTTTACTTGGAACCTCGGAACCCTCACTTGGAACCTTCGGAACCTTCACTCGGAACC